AATAAAATCATAATAAAACCAAACAAAAGGTCTTATATATAAGTCTACAATAATTGAATCAAGTTCTGGAATCCACTGCTTTGTGATTTGAGCTTTAGTTGTTTATGTTAAATGCTTTCTTCATTCTCTGCACAACATGTGGTAATGTATTGAGGTTCTCTTCAATGGCTTTGTGCACACAACTCTCCATCTCGTTTACCGCTTCAGGTCTTATCTTCTGGAGCTTCGTAGCCTCGAATTTGTCTTGACACACCATTAGTGATCTGTTTAATCGTTCCTATACATTCGGTAAACAAAGATACATATAGATGCAGGATCAGTTACATACATATATATAGCTCTACCAAAGTAGTAACATCTTTTGTAATCAATACCGAAACTTTTTTGTTGTGGGATTTACCTGAAACTGAGCCATTTCGTTCTCAAAATGAAGTTGAGATTGGACAACGGGAACACTGCAGTGTTCGACGCAGTTACTTATCTCATCTTGCTTTCTTCTTCTGTCAAAGCATTCGTATGCGCATTTGAAATAAGCTTGCTGCAGCAATGAGACAGTTTTTTGTTGTTGTTGGGGTTGCTTAATTTATATTACTGGATCATCCAAACTCAATATAGCAACCCAAGAAATAAATAGTGAGCAATGAGTAGGTGTTAACACTTAACACTCAAATATAGAACAAAACGGAGCAATTTTCTCGACAGTTTCATAACCTGATCCATAGTCTCTAAAGACAAATATAGAACTAAACCGAGCCATTTTCCATACATTTTCAAGAACCTAATCCAGAGTCTCTAAAGAGAAATACAAAACGAAACGCAAGCAAATTTCCGACAAATATAGAACGAAACCGAGCAATTTATCATGAGCATGTTCCATGGTCGTAGAGATATCTAACTCAATTCATCAAAGTATACTTACAGGAACTAGCGAATATATCTTACAGAACAAAGTTCCATTATTGCTAAAAAGTAAGCTTCCTTAAAAAATTACTTGGACATTGGATCTTCAAGAACAGAGATTGAAATGTATCAAACCAATAAAGATTCAATTTTTCAGAAGCTGAACATTGCTAATCAGAAAACCCAAGAAAGAAAACCATGAGGTCACCTGAAGGGTGAAATTGATATGATCTTGAACAGGAGAAAGCTGAGCTTGAGCAGCTTCATTAACTTCTTCAAGCTTTCTTCTTAGCCTTTCCGATACGATTTGCTCTTCCCCCGCAGCTATGTGATCCATTG